CACACATTTTCATTCGAACAGTTACAACTCTTTTGGATTAAATTTCTTGTTTCATCGAATGGTCACAACTTTTTGGATCTGTTATCTCAATAGACACTTTAACTCGAAATTTGAAGGGCAAAATAGGTATATATTCAAAAGTTGGGGGCAAAATGGRGAGGCAAAGATTCTCCTCCATAGCCCCATTTAGATATAGTATAGATATAGATAGATTAATATTTGTGGTTAGTGTTATAAAACTATCGTAATTTTGCATGAATGATAGGATATTGTTCTAAGCCAGCATAGATCGGAGTTCGAATCCTCGCTCCGGAGAGGTGAAAAAAACAGAAATCCAAAAAACTGATTAAATCATCAAAACTGACTAAATATTAGGTATTGCATTATGATCAGCAAGAAAATAAAATATGGGAATATTACATATATGGCTAAATTAAATAAGCAAATTAACAAAATACATGCCTTTTGGATATTATAATATGGCTAAAAGTTCAATTTCAAAATTTTTATAATCTCAAAGTACCAAATATCTCATCCGAACAACTTCAAAATTTGATCAAAATCGAGAAATCCCCTTATTGTATTTAATAATATATAACTTAAAAATGCTATGACCAGTAGAATCAAGGAGAAGATAAAATGTTTTCAATAATTTTAAAACATTAAAATAGGTAAAAGTTATTACATAAAATAAAAAACTTGAAAAGATAACAAAAAATATTACTGGTGGACAATAACTTCCATCATTAATAGATGTTGCCATTGGCAAGCATATGAAAGAATATTTGAATCTTCACTATCCCTGTTTAAATTATAAGTGTTTTCCTTGCAAATGATAGTATTAGGGACTAAATATAGTTATTTTTATTTTATGTATTTATATGTGGGAATAAAAACTCTAAAAATTGGGATAGAAAAACAAATTGTTTATAAAAAAAAAATTCTTAGCATTAAAGTATTTTTTCAAACTAATTGTAATTACAAAAGTATGATAGTTTTTTGTCATACAAAAAATGTGATAACCACGCATGAATCTTGCCTGCGAATTTTAGTAAATGGTGAAAATTGAGCCCTATTAAAAATATTTGTCTTTAATTTTAATAAATTTAAAGAATTTATTTTAATGTTACTATTTTATTATGTTAAATTTATCTATTTATCTCTTTTCTCTTTGGTCACTTCAGTTTTTTTTTTCTACTATCATTTGAATCTTCACTATCCATATTTTCTAACGCTTGCTTGATGATTTGTTCCAAATCAAGAATGTTTTATTTCATAGTGGAGGAGGTTGTTAGTGACTAAGGAGCATCTATACTTTGAAATCAAAATTTGGAAGTAGATAAATAAAATTATTGAAATTTTCTTAACGTAGATTCTGAAATTTAATAGTTTTTTTTAAGGAAATTTGTGGTAGGTAACATTTGAAAATATGCCACCTGTTTTTTATAACTTTCAAATATAGCGCAAAATTAGAATTATGATTTGGGAGTGTTTCATTATTCTAATTTTACCCCCTTTTTTTTTTCAGATATCGTGGGTAAAATTTCTTCGTTTCTCCTTCGTTCGTATATCAGATACTTATATTAGTAATATATCATATACTCATATAAGTAGTATATTAGATATTCATATTATTAGTATTTCAAATACTCATATTAGTAGTATATCAGACACTCATATCAATAGTATATCAATCGTATATCACATACATATATCAGTAGTCGGATATATTATAGATATATTACAAATGTATATCATTTGGGGTAAAGTTGTCATTCTAAAATTGGACCTCCTTTTTTTTTTTAAAGTGTTATATTTCAATAAACTAAATGTGGTTGCTATTTTGCTAGTTTTACTAAATGTTTTTGTCATATTTGCAACTGTCCCTTTTTCTAACCTTTAAAATTTAAAATTCTCAAGTAAGAGGTGTAAATATGATTGTTGGGTCACTAACCTTGTCATTTGAGGGTTTCTTCCTATTATTCTGATTGTCCTTTGTGCACACTAGAGTTTTAAAGACAACTCTTTGTGACAAAAAGAGCAACTCCCATAAAAAAGTATTTGAATCTGCCTTTGGCGTCAACTTCGTGGGTTGTATACATCCCTGAAGGATAATGTTTAGTAAATATAAGTATCAATGAATGTATATATGGTACCTAGATTTTTCTCCATCAACTTTGTTGTGAAGGACGGAATGAGTGCATACGACTGTTCGGGTAACCCCATAATTGATTCTAAGGTCTTCTCTCTTCCTCTCAACACTTTGGAAGTCACATAGTTTTTTAGTACGTACAAAGTTGGACGAAAAATAATGAATGTGAATTTAATTCATAACATTGAATTCCTTGTGTTGATAGTGAGTTGTGGTAAGCACCAGTGTCGCATTTCCATTTATGAGGTCAATGACAATATCTACAATGGTTCGTATTGGTATCTCACTTCAGTTTTTAGGTCCATGGTAGTATCTACAACAGTTTTTCCTGGTGTTGCACTCCCATTTATAAGGTTAATTCAGTATCTACAATGATGTCGTACTTTTATTTATGGGGTTAATATCAGTACTTATGGTGTCACATTCCCATTTCAGGATCGATATCCGTATCTACCTAGGCAGTATCCTCAACGATGCAGCAATCGTTCCCCAACGATCATTCGACAGAATCTTTAGAACGCATGTCACATCTCTATCTATCTTCAGATATTCTAATAATACATACTTGTTTACATCATTCCTGTACAATGAGAGGCATGCAAACTTTCTTTTGGTCGGGTAAATAAATATTTATGGTAATTCATTTGATGAGATGAGATAAAGTAAAGTCATTATGAACTAACACCTGAGTAACTTTGAAATCGTTGTAGGTATTGTGTTGGTCCCTGTTATGCAATGGGAACCGACAGTCGAAGTACCGATGAGGATCGAAAGGAAGCCCACTGGGCCGCAATGGGCTCGGTCCCGACCCGGTGCTCGATCCCGACCCGGTGCTCCGTCTCGACCCTGGGCTCGGTCCACGGCCCTCCAGCGACCCTTCGTCTTCGATCCACGATTTCGCCAAGGCCCGCCAACGAAACTAGGGTTAGCTACGGAAAGTTCTGGAACAACTTGACGGCTATAAGTAGCGATCCAGCCTTAGAGGTAAGGGCATCTAAAAAGTGGACTACATTTGTGTTATTATCTTGCTAACATAAGCATCGGAGCCCATGTGACTAGAGTCACACCGGTTTAGCTCGATTTGGTTTTGCAGGTACTAGTCCCGAATCAACAAGTTTGGTGGGTGCGAGGAGGAGAACCGGAGGACCGAAATCCACGCATCAACAATTGGCGCCGTCTGTGGGGACGATTTAAAGCATCCAGTTGAG